GGGGGGGGAGCGGCTGCTGTGGAGGTGGATTAGGATTTTTGGGGCATTGCGGTGGGGAGTGGTAAATAGAGGCATAATGGGTACAAGTAGTAGGCTTCTAGTCATAAAGAACTGTTAAAGGGGTAATTTTCCTATCCACATAAATGAAAACTTCATCAAGAAGGGGAGAGGAACATTTCACCTGAACTCATACATGAGCGAAAGTGAGACGGGTCTTTGCAGCAGTAAGAGCATCGACGACGAGAGGGATTCCCAAGCACCTTGCAACCCGCGAGATGCCTTCCGGAGTCCAGCAGGAGAGTGACAATTTCTTAATCTTTATCCAGAGGGGAATGGAAGTAAACTCTTCCCGTTTGGGAATAAAATCGAGAGACTATTTTTGGAGAATGAATGGCTTCCCGAAGAAAAACCACGGGCCGCCAATCCAAGCCATTTCATAATCTTCAGGGGCAGTGAACTTCAAGATGAAGAAACCATCATCCAGAGTTAGAAGGGTAAGAGCCCTTTGAGTGTCCAAGTTCTTTTTATGTGTGAAAGCCCATTCCCTGCCCTCCTAAAACTAAAAAGGTTATATAAGAGTACAAAAAGAGAGATGTTCCTCCTAAAGACTAAATAGAAGATTCAAAAAATATCTAGAATAGTTCTTATACAATTCATATATGACAATTTTATTTTTAAAATATTACATTTTCTCAATTTAATCTCTCAACTATACAAATTAATTCAAAATAATCTTTCATATTATAATTATGATATAAAAATTGATTCCAATTAAATCCTAAAGATATTATTTTGTATCAAATTTGTATACTATATAAATTAAATTTGAGTAAATTAAATATTCATATGAGAACAGTTGGTAGACTTTTTTTTGAAATTTAAACCGAGTAAGATTAATATAATAGAGAATTTGGTCTTGCAAGAAAATAAACGTACATTTTCTTTATTTATTATTTTTGTCATTTCGATATACAGTTCTACACTAATTGAACATATCAAAAACAGCTTCATTCATCAGAATTTCAAATATGTCCTGCCCAACGACAAATCCAATCTCCTCGGCTTCTTCAGATTTGTCCATTTTTGCTTTAACCCACTTTGAATTGTGCAAATCATCCTCTCCTAGCCTACAGATATGCGCCAAAATATCTGACAGATCTTGTACCACCAAGCCGCACTTGCTGGCTTTCTTGCTCTCATTCTCAACCGCCAACGAAGCCTTCTTCCTTGAATCCTTCTCTTCTGATTTCAGGACGGGAATCTTACAAACTTCAAACAAAGACGCTAACTTTATTAATGTCTGAAAATTGAAATGCAGGAAAAAAAAAAGCTTTTTTTTTTAGTTGTTTGATTACCTGAAGTAGAAGAATCTGGGCTGGCGATGCAGTCGGCTTCGGCATCAAGAGGAAGATCCAGCACTGAAATAGGACTCGAATTCTGAGAACTGCATTCCATTTCCATCTCTACATGACCAAATGATATCTTCTTCCTGCATGACGAGCTTCTTTCAGTAATTTCATTCGGCATCATTCCCTTCTCGGAAGCAGAAAAGCTCTTTGCGTCAGTATGATTAATCTCCGCAGAATTCACCATACTCTTATTTCTTGACCTCTTCTCCACCAATTTTCTCTCCCCCCTGCTTTCCTTCTTACCATACTGTTCAAAACCAAAATCCATCTTCTTTGTACTCAGTTCCAACTCATCAGATTCATCATAATCGCCGAAACTCAGTACCAGAAACTCCTCGCTTTCCTTCCTCAGGTACGAGCGAACCTCCCGGAAAGACTGCGACTTCCGGAGCTCTGAACCGGCACTGCCGCTCCTCTGCTCGCAGAGAAGCCCCGGTCCTTTCCATGACTCGGCGGAGTTCGCGGACCGGGTTCTGGATATCGTCTCCGGTTGAGCATAAGGGAACGCCGGCATGGACTCAAGTCCCATCAACCGCGCTACGATTCCGGGGCTTGAGTTCGCCGACATTACTGCCTCAGACTTCCCCTGCTCTACCTTCCTCCAGTCAAAAACTTCGTCTTTGTCTGTAAACCTCTTATCTCTTAGGTTCCTGCAGAGAATCCGGTGCAGAACTCCGGAGATGCAGCCGGAAGCTTCACCGCGGCCTGAGCCCAGCTCAAAAGAAGAGGGAACGGCGAGCTTCATGTTTAAAAAAAAAAGGCGTTAAAGAAGAAAATAATGGATCTTTCTTACTGATTTCGCCGAATTACCATTCCCGTATGTCAAAGATGGAATTTTAGGAAGAGCAAGGAATGGAATGGAATGGAAACAGAGAAGAATCCAGCGTGGAGGACAAAGACTTGGGGAGGGCGGGATCTATTTTTGAACAGGGGAGAAGTGACGCGATAGAAAAGAAGGGTCTCAGTGATTGCTGTCGGGAAAAAGACGACTGTAGCGTAGAATTGTGTTCCCTGTGGGTCCCGAAAGAGCTCTGTCATTCACACTTGGGATTAGAGAGAAAGATAAAGTAGGGAAGGAGGTGCATTTGTTATTCCAGTTCGAACTGTTTGGGCTCAAGCAAGAAGACAAAGAATGGGGCAGTGATAAGAGTGAGGAGAAGACGGGTCAGTGGTCAGCGATGGGCTCAGCGAGTTACTGTGTGGCCTGTGAGATCTGTTCGGAAACCTTGCGATCTCACTGGAGATAAAAAGGGCCGGCATTTGCGACTTAGGGAGCCACCATGGGACCCGTCGGTGCGAACAGTGTACGATCGAGAAGGATTTTTTTTTTTTGCTGGAGAATGTCGAATCACAAATCGAGGAGGATGAAAGATTAAAAACCTAGTAATTATGGCAAATTAGTTTATGCAATAAAATGCCATATTCTATAAGAAGAAAATTTTCTTAAAAAAAGAAAGAAAGAAAAGAATAATGAAAATCTTTTTTAAATAAAGAGAGATTATTTAATTTCTATCAAAGTTGTGAAAAGCTAATTGAATATGGAATCAGAAATAAGCGAGATTCAAAGTTCAATAGTAATAATAACTTGATAATTTTGTATAATTATTTAAATAATAAATAAATAATAAAATTATTATTTAATGATATAAATTTGTGATTAAACTAAATTTAATTTTAAATAAAATTGTTATACAAATGATTATTATTTTATGTTTGATACATCACCAAAAATCGTCTTGATTTGATAAAAATTTTATATACATCTAAATTGAACTTTCAAAATTAAATTTGGAACCATTTGAACTCTAATTTCAATAAACTTACCATCAAATTGAATCTCAGTAAGACGAATCCAATGACACCAAATCAATCAGTTTAATTATAGCTCAAATGAGCCCAAATTAATGGACCAAAGCATATTTGAAAGCTTAAAAATATTAATTGTATAATCAAATGATATCTAAATATGGAATTCTTATAGTTGAATCGAGCGTCTCAGCGAGAGGAATCCAATGAGCTAAGATTGCTTAATTCGACAACATTAAGACTCTTTAATACTTCATGAATGCTACATTATTGAAGGAATCAATATGGGTCATCTGATATAGTAGTTCACATTTATCTTGGATCTTCTCTATATTTATAGTGCATGACACTCTCTAAATATATAAATAGACTCCTTCTTTCCATATAAGGGGGGTTTGAACTTTTGGAGGCTGGACCCTAGGCTAGAAACTCAAAAGAACTCTTGGGCTCAAAGCATCCAAGAGCTCCACCAAGCCACCACTGCTGATGAACCATCACCACGAAGCTGCCGCCCCTAAACCTCCACATGACCATCGTCGTTAAACCTCCATCAGGCAACCACCGTCGGCTCTCCGCCCGACCACCATCATTGAAAAACTATGGTTCCTCCAACCCTTGTTGTCAACTATAAACCCTCTAACCTCTATCGGCTAATGACTATGATCCCTTCGACCTCTATCGCCCACCAACTATAATCCCTCCAACCTCTTTCTCCCACCAATTACAATCCCTCTACCTTCAGTTACCTACTAACTAGGGTCCCTAAAAGTTTGTGAGGGATGTTAAACCCTAAAAAACTAGTCCTGAGGCGAACCAAGAGAGGATGAATTAGTTATTTAAATAATTATTTAATGATGAAATAAAATCTATTTATAACTTGATGCGGAAGCGAATTACATTCACAATAAAAAGATAAATCAACGTTTTCACCCACGCAATTAATCGCAAGAAAAATAAATACATAAATAATAAAAGAATGAACACACTAAATTTATAGTGGTTCGATCAAATCTGACTTACGTCCACTTTCTGGAGGCACCCTCCGAGTATTGCACTAAACATTTATTAACTCTCCTTTAGCCCCCATAACCAAGTAGAGAAGCCCTTACAAAATCACTTCCACATTCCCTAGTGCGGCAGAGTAGCCGGGTCCTTTGACACAAAAAATATCTTCTTCTTCCCAAAACTTTTCTCAAGACGAACCTTAAATCGTATTATACTAAGGTGCAAGCTTACCAAAGCAACCGTATGAAATCCCCTCCACAAACCCTTGAAATCCTCTCCAAGGATCTTCTCCCTCTCAAACTCCACCATTTCCTCTCTCTCCCTTTCAAGATCTCTCTTCAGGTTTTCTTTAGAATAATGAAGACACAATGGCTGTCAATGACACTTACCAAGTACTTTAACAAAGCTTAAATAGAGGGCTTCAAAAATCCTAAAAATTTTAATTGTACAGACAAAAATCATCTAGTACGATCGCAGGATCATCCACTAAGATGTGCATAATTTAACATGATAGCCCTAAATGATCTACAGATAGTCCAATATGATCAGTTAAATTTGAACATATCATCCAATACGATATTGATATCATCCGGGACAATTAGTTCAATCGAAATGTTGTTCATCCATGACGAAATATGGGATGACCAAAATTCTTCTATGTTGATTGTATAGTATGGTCCAAAACATATAGTATGATCATAATATGAATCTTAAATATATTTGATTGACTAATCACAAGATTAATTTATGCATGATTTTATAGATCGTCTAGTAAGATATACTTCATCCTAGACGATTAGAAAACATATAAAATTCAAAATCTTGTCTAAATTATGATCGTCAGCTATTTTTCATGAGCATAACTAATTGTCCTGGACGATCTAGATTGTCTAGTATGACTAGTTAGATGAGTTGATCATACAGTATGATATAAATCATACAGTACGATTAGTTCAAAATTTAAACTTCTGATTTTGACTCAATCTCACTCCCCCTGAGTGTGTGTGTGCATGGTCACCAAACAAGCATACACCCTTACAGAACTTAACTCAATAAATAAAAAAAAATATAATAATGATTATTACACAAATCTTTATAGCATTGCTTATTTTACCAAATCTTGAGACTTAAAACTTCATTGGATGGTGTATGACGTTCCTAAAAAGTTAGTACACACACAAATAAAAATATATTGTAAGTACAAGTAGACAACAGGATATGAGCCACAATATTTATTATCATCAAAAATATAAACTCATGAGATTGAGTTACAACAGTCCCTTGGACCACCATCGCACCACTACGGCCCTTCCGACCTCCGTCACCCATCAACTTATAATGGAATTTTTTTAAAATAAAAAGAGTTAAAGAAATAAAATAACAATGAAAATCTTTTTAAATAGAAATAGATTATTTGGTTTTTATTAAAGTTGGGAAAAGCGTATCAAACATCTAATTAGAAAAAAAAATAGGTTCAAAGTTTAATAGTTTAATTGAATTTGAATAGTGAATTGAATCAAATAACCTAATAAACTCTATAATTATTTTAATAAAAAATAAATAATACAATAGTTATATAATGATAAATTTGTGATTAAAATTTTATTTAATTTATATATAAACTTACATATTAATACAAATTATTATTATTTTATGTTTGATACACACAAAATAAAATCATGTTGATTAGGTACAAATCTTGATAAATATCTAAATTAGAAACTTCAAAAATTAAATTTGGAACCATCTAAACACTAATTTCAATAAACTTACAGTAAAATTAAATGAATCGATAAGACGAATCCAATAACACCAAAATCAATCAGTTTAATCCTAACTTAAATAAGCCCAAATTAATGGACCAAAGCTTATTTGAAAGCTTAAAAATATTAATTGGATAACCAAATGATATCCAAATATGGATATAGTTGAATCAAGGGGCTTGATGAGAGGAATCCAATGAGTCAATATTGCTTAATCTGACATCATTAAGGCACTTTAATACTTGATGAATGCTCATAATTGAAGGATTCAATAAGGGTCGTTCAATGGAGCACTCCAAATTTACCTTGGATCTTCTTCATATTTATGGAGCATGTCACTCTCAAAATTTATAAATAGACTCCCTCTTTTTATATGAGAAGGGCTTGGAATTTTGGAGGCTTAGACCCTAGGCTGAAAACTCAAGAGAACTCTAGGACTTGAAATATCCCAGAGCACCACCCAAGCACCACCACTGAAGAACAATTACCACAAAGTTGTTGCTCTTAGACCTGCGCCTAACCATTATCATGAGACCTCTGTCAAATTGCAATCACTGACTCTCTACCTGACCACTATCGCCAACAAACAATGGCCCCTCTGACCATCATCTACAACTACAGACCCTCTGACCTCTATTTCCCAACGACTACAATCCCTTCGACCTCTATCTTCCACCAACTATGATCCCTCCTACCACCTTCGCCCATTAATTACAGTCCATTCAACTTTATTTTCCCTCCAACTACGGTCTCACGAAAAATCATCACATAACTACGGCCCTTCCAACCTCCCTCGCCTATCAAATATAGTCCTCCGACCATCATCACCAGCCGACTATGGCCCCTCCTACAAACATCGTATGTTAATTACAGTCCTTTGACCTCCATCCTTGTTAACTACGATCCCTCTAACCTCGATCGTCACTGACGACGACCCTTTTGACATCTATATTCACCAACTACAATCCCTTCAACCTTCGTCGCCTGTTGACTATGGTCCTTTCTTAATCAACCTAATTTTTGAAACTTCATTAAAAATGTAGAATCTGAATTTCTGTTTAAACTAAAGCATTGTGATGCCAAGATTATGAGTTATGAGACACAATCCTATGGGCGCAACTGCACCAAAAGAAACTGTTGTGATGTTGTTACCTTTATTCTACAATAATTATGGAATTAACATATAACGCTAAGGTGTCGAGTGATGACTGTGTGATGCTATGCAATATTTTTTTTATACCTTAAATTAATATTTTATCTACACTCACTCACCCTCACAACCATCGATATTGGGTGTCGAAGAAGGAAATAAGATGAAGGATGAAAAGAGTAAAAAGTAAG